GCAGGTCTAGCCTTCAGGTATCCAAAGCAGAGGAACTGAGGACATCCACAATGAATCTCACATAGAAAACCCCTCTTTGCATTTTTCACAGAAGGAAAACAGGAAATATTTTTTCATACATACACGTTAAAAATGAGTAAAAGGAAAGAAAACAGCACAGAGCTCCATCAGCTAAATGCAGGTCGTGTTGTCTGAGAACACTGCACGTCTGCAGCTTGTCTAGGGGGAGGAGAGTGAGACTCGGGTCCCAGCCCCTTGTTCTTCCTTTTCTCAGTGTCAGGTGGAGACAAGGAGCAGCAGGAGCAGGAAGAGTGGCGCTCTACATGGTAAGGCTCGGCCCTTCCCCCGGAGGCCCAGAGGAAACTTGACCTCACACGTGTCCCTGAGTGACAAGGGCCACATCTCTGAGGATGTCATCACAGAGGCCTGACAGGGAGGGCCCTGGGAAGGAGATCAGCACCTGGGGTACTTCTCAGATTCTGTGCTGGGAAGGAAGCTAGGATGGGCCAGGGAAGGGGTGCTGCCCAGCAGGGCCAGGGGTGGGGGGTAGTGGACCAACCGTGCTGGATCTGGAGGTGGGGACGTGGGCCCAACTGTGGGCATGCTGTTTTAACTTTGCCAAGGCTGATTCCTCTTTGGCATGACCCCGTCCTTCCTCCCCCAGAGGGTNGAAGGTAAGCAAACCTGTGCACAAACCCAACAGCCAATGAGTTTCTCTTTCCTTCCTATTACTATTTCTACTTTTCCAAATCACCTAGAGAGATTTCTGAGATGGGAAATGTCAGGAAAGATTAGAACATCATCCTTCTAGGGACAGGCAGGGCAAGGGTAAGAGTGGGCACTACGGTTTCTGTCCAAAGCTCTCAGAACAGCTGTGCTGCTGAGCTAGAGGATCCAGGGCAAGGGCAGACACTAAGACTCAACTTGGTGGCCTAGGCTGGGATTGCTGAGAGCTGAGATCTCTGCAGGGGAGCTGAGCACTGGCTCTTCAGTGCCTTCCCACGACAGGCCCCTTGGGCCAAGACTTGCCTC